CTCTCACTCACACACACACACACACACACACTCACTCACACACACACACACTCTCTCTCACACACACACACTTTCTCTTACACACACACACTCTCTCACTCTCACACACACAAGTCAGTACTTTGTTATCTGTAATTCATTCATTCTAGTCAACATTCAGGTTATTTTTTTTTTTTTTTTTGATGTGCAAAACATCTGGATCATTTGAATTAGTTCATTCTATATTTTTATACTTTGCCCATTTTTTTTCTTGTCATATCTTCATCAACACTATATTCTGTATTAGTTGAAATGGTTGAATCATCTTTTTCTGACAGTAGTTTTTTTTCCTGAAGGCATCTCATCCAATCAGAGAGCAGTCAGAGCTGCTTTATAAAGTACATCAGCAGCAAGAGTCAGAAAACCTTTAACATCGTTATTTCCATTTTAATTTCTCAGGACAAACATGATAATCAAACCGATACAGCAAAATTCTATTTTCAAATATATTTTTAAATATCTCAAAATATACAAAAAAATGACCCAAAATATATTAATGTAAATTTATATCTAACAATATATTTTTTGGACATTTTTGAAATCATATTTCAAAATTATATATTTTTTTTTAAGCTTTTTTTTTTTTATCTGTATTTTGCCCTCCATACATGTCAATCCAAGAAAATACACTCATCACATCTGAAGAAAAAAATTATTTGTCTATAACACACATGAACATATAACACATTTGAATAAAAAAAATCGTACTTTAAAAAATGCATACGTCACGTACTTTAAAAAATATTACAATATTCCAACATTTGAAAAAATCAAGCATTATATTAAAGCATTATCAAACTAATTAGTTTTTTCTCTCCACTAGGCTGATGTAAATGTAGGCTACTGTAAGACTGGAAAAGTGTTTCCCCCTGAATTACATTTTTAAATGTATTTTGACACATGAAGGTTGAAACTAAATATATTTTCTATTTCAAAAATATTTTGAATTGAGCTTCATTGTTTACAACATAGATTTAGCATATAATTCAAATATATTTTGGCAGAATTGTTTTTGTGCCGTATGGGAAGGTATCAGACTTGAACTCTTCAGCCGCGGGCCACATATTACTGCGTTTCTAATCACTAATAATCACTAATCACTAGTCCTTCATCTCACTGTCACTGCACCTTTAGATCGAGCAAACCATCATCCGTCTGTTTTATTACGAAGTCTTTCAGGCCCAGATCTCACAGAAGATCGTCACAACACCAACAACACGCCTCACTTCCTCCAAATACTCTCAAACTCTTCACTCGTCAGTTTCTGAAAGCTGACACTCAAACAGCAGAAGCACACACCAAGTCTACAAAACCAGACACTAATTCTCAGCCTTTGACTTTCATAAAACACTTTTTGCAAAACACAACACACAGTTCTCTATGTAACACAAACAAATCTAACAGGAATTAATATTATGGCAAAGCTGTTTGCAAATGCTTGCTTTTGAGACGTGTTTGTGATACTTTGAATGCAGTGCTTCATTTTGCAAGAGATGTGAGGCTTTTTGCATTTGTGTGTAAAGTTTTGAAAATGTGTGAAAGCAGCTGAAAAAGCTGTAAGATTAGATTCATCACTCAACAGCACATTCATGTTCTTGCTTCATTTGAAGATGAAGGATCCTGATGTGAAAGCATCCCTGAATCATTACCCAGAATGCACCTCCACTAAAACACCAAGCTTTTGAAATATGAAGGGTTCACTCAAAGCACATCTGCTGTCAGTCATCACATGACCTGTGGTCATCTGTGGGGTCCGAGCGTGATTGACAGCTCACTGTGATCTGGTCACGTGACACAAGCCTTCATCTGCTGGTTAAGCTGGTTTCTGATCTCGTGAGTGTGTGAAAGAGCCACTTGAGCTCATGATCGGTCGAACGCTTTGTCTCTCGCGGATCTAAAACACTGATTTGTTTGACTGCACATGTTTAGATGCTCCGATGTTCATTTATTGATCATCATGATGTTTAATATTCCCACAGGCTCATTTTGATGTGAAGCGAGTCAGTGACAAAATTATGATTCTCTTAAGCTGATCAGTCTCAAATAAAACACTTTTAACAGCAGCTTCAGGTGATTTCATCATTTCACTCACCGATGTCTGAGAAATCTTTCTGTCCCTTTCCCCAAATAAACCCAGATGATTTGTTTGAGACAGAAAGAAGTATTTTATTGCATGAAATATCAATCATTTCAAATTAACTGACAAAATATTGAGGCTTTAACAGATCAAAATATCTTCATCATTTGAATAATGGCCAAGAAATGTTCGTCAGTTTGACAAAACCAACCGGGATCTTTTCTATGTTCAGAGTTTTAAAGTCACTTTAAAGAAATTAGTAACATTTTTAAAATTACCATGAAGATTTACTAGACTGTGAAGAGTACGAAAACATGAACGCTGGACTCACACTGTTCAGAATACAGGCTGATGTCTGATTAGAAAAGTAAAACATTTCTCAGCAATCATCAAATATTAAAAAGATATAAAGCACGTTTGAAACTCTTGTTGATTGGTGTGATAAAGACATGAGTGGTGTCAGTAGTGATGATTGTGCTATCGAGCGCATGGAATGAATCACTGCGGAGAGAATAAAGCTGCAGGGCTTCAGATGCTCAGCGTGATGGAGCGGACGCTGCCCACCGGGATCTTGCCGTCTGTCGGTTCTCCTCGGATGCGGAAGATCACGCGTGTGCTGGAGGGGATGGTTGCCGTGGCGATCAGCGGTTTACCCAGCCACCCCTGCGCTCCTCGCTTATACATGGAGACGGTGACCTGCACACAGACACACACACATTTAAACCACAGAACAAGCGGAAACATCTGTATTCACTACATGAGAAAACCGCTGCTTTATAATAACG